CACACACACACACACACACATACACACATAGTAGTGCCTAAGCTTAATATTACCAGGGCCCTGAAACAAAACAGAAATATGGCCACAAGTACTCTCCCTCAGCTTTGAACTTCCCCGGCATTTGCGTTTGAAACGCTGATGAAAAAAGCTTCAAAGACCACACTCCCTCGCTTCAAAGGAGACTCAGGGTTGCCTCAACAGTCCTTGTGGAAGGGAAAATTAAAATGTGTATTGGGTTTTTAGCAAGGAGCATTATCTCAGAAAAACGCAATGAACTCCCATTACTTCTGGCCCGTTGCTGCCTTGTATCATGAAGAAAGAGCAGAAAATGGATGTGCTCACTAAGTGCCTTTTATACAAAGAGGAAATTACAGTTATTTGACTTTTCAGCAGCTTCCAAAGAGCATCCTCGCTCCAGATATCTGCCGGTTCATTCTGTATGTCTTCTTGCAGCAAATCTTGTCCTTCTAAAGCTCTGCCAGCATGATCAAAACGTCAAATCTGTTCATGTAATGGTCTTTGACTGATCAGTGTTAAGGACAAACATTTGTGAGCTAAGATGTTTGTCCAGGTGCAAAAACAGAAAACACACTTATTTTCTCTTCTTTCCTCACATTTAGCATCTGGGTATCTCCAGTGCTCTGCATGTTGTCAGTCTTAATAGCAGGTGTAAGTCTGGAAGTATTCCAATTAAAACACAAGAAAAAAAATACTGAATGAGTTAAAAATAAAAGCACTTTGCTTTTTACATGCTCTGGAACAGCTGCTCCCATTGTACTTAAGTGAGTACATGTGGATGTGTCATTGTCATTAGTGTGTATTTGTATTTGTGTATATTTACACGTGCGTGCTCAGCTGGGCACTCTGGGAAGTGTGAATTGCAAACAGTGGATAAAGATGCCGGCATAGGGACTCCAAGCTATTACCAATGCCTCTGATTGCCGCATGTGCTAATTGTGTTGTAGAGCACCTATGGGAACACTCGCACTGTAAGGATTACACACACAGATTTAAACACCGAACACGCACAGACACATGAAAACACACACCGTTAAAAAGAATCAAAAGAATTATAACTGGAAAAAACATAGTATAATCACAGATATTTAAACACTGTAAAAACAAAACCCACACACCTAAGTTACAGAGTGCAGTTTCACAAGAAAATACATCAACACAAATATTAAACTGGGGACATATGCACATGAGTAAAGGAGGACAACCTGGATACAAAGCTTTTCCATACCATGTATTTGTTTTTCATTTTCATTCAGAACTATTTTTTTTGGACAGGCGAAGATATACAATCAGGTCCTTCTGACATTTAACTCCCTTCCTCTCTCCCCGCTCTCTCTCTCTCAGCAGCTTGTGGAGAAGAACTGCATGTCAAAGATTCAGTGTATGAATTATTAATGGTATAGATTAAACGTGCCAGGACTCACTGTGGAGCCTGTTTGTTTTATTTGGATGTAATTATTTAATGGCACCTTGTTAAAAATGATAAGGAGAGGAAAACGAGAGGAGAGGAGTGGAGAAGCTTTGTTTGGAAAAGTAATTGTTGGTGGAGTTATTACGACGTGCTCCAAGCTTCACTCATTCAGTGCAGAAAAAGAAGGAAGGAGGGATGAGGCCTTGTCTGACTCAACTATACAACTTTTTTCCTCTCCTTTTTTGTCTTTTCTCTCTCTCTCTCTCCCTCTCACTCACACACAAACACACACTCCTATGTCTTTGCATTTATCTCAAATTTTACATGGCTCTGTGAAAAGAGTAGTGGAGCATAGGGGGCACTGTTCCCTATTTATACTTTCACAGTTGCATGCACTCGCTCACATACACACACATACAGTACAAGCTGCTGTCACCACCATTCTGCCATCCAAACAAACACAGTCTGACAGCATAGCTGGTGCCTGGTATGCATCCTTGCACACACACACACACACACACACACCAGCCTTTATGGTGGGGTTGACTTTCATAGTGTGAGGGTTCAGTAAACTCCTGCTAGCATGCTTCATTCTCACTACCCATCCACCCATCTAAACCCCCGCTGCAGCTAAATCTGTCCCTACGGCAACATGTGGCAATGACCCTCTCCAAGAGGCTACAGGCTTCAACAGTCAGACACCTCAGCTCATACTACACAAACAGCACAATGGAGAGTTTATATATACACTGTGCACATACATGAGAGTGTAGATCATAAGGGGCAGGATTTTCCTACATACGGCTGCACACATACAGTACAGACATACCAGTGGTGGAAAGTGATTAAAGCACGAGTTCAACATGGGTCTGTGGGAGGCATTCTTTACTTAGGGTTAGGGGTTAGGTGTTTTCATTTTATTCAATCTTTCTCCCACCATGTTTATTGGGCAGCTATTGGACAATAGTTACCAGTTACTTATTGAGATAAACATATACCATCAATATGTTCTAGATTAAACTCCCAACACAACTAGATAAATTTACATCATCCAAAATGTTTCCAACAATTTTTAAACCCAGACAAATTTACCAAAGGTCACGGTATGATTTTGGTTTTGAGGTCTCAGCTATAACTTCCAGGGCAAACGCATGATGAAGGAATAACACAAGGCTAGCCTGGTTAGCAAGTCACCTATTGTTCACTTGCAATGGATCAATTATTCATTGCTGTTTGCTGCATAACGTGCCGCTTGCTGCAAGACGTGAATAAAACTTTTATACATAAGGTCATCCGTGAATATATTTTTTTGTGCCTGAGTCATGTCTGGGAGATTTTGGTGGTGAAGACAACAACTCATATGATCCCACACTGCTTGAAAACATCAAACTAGGTACTTTGTTATTGTTTTGATTGAGAGACCCCTTGTGGCTGAAATTACATTTAAATGCATAGTTAATCATAATAATCCAAAAATATGATATATTTCACAATAAAACTCAAGATGCACGATCCTGCGACTGGCCATGTATTAATACATTTTAATTGAGGACCTTTAGTCGAAATGGAACATTTTCACACTTTGTTATTGCTTCTTTTACTTTCATAAAGAATCTGAGTAACTTTTTTATGAGCCAATGTTTTTAGATACCTCAGAGTCACTTCAACATTTCCTGTTCCCCCCCACCACATCATGACAGACTAACTAATCGAATATTCTCTCTTTGAAGCAGCGCCACTGGATCTATTCATGTGTGAGGCTGTGTGCATGCATGTGTGTGTGTGTGTGAATGTTTCTGCACAAAGACTGCACCTTTGTGCTCTTATGTGTTCCGTTGTGTGCTTGAGTGTTTATTTACACTTGTTTGTGCAATTACTTATACTTGGCAGAGTGGTTTGTGTGTGTGTGTGTGTGTGTGTGTGCGTGCGTGCGTGTGTAGGCGGCCGGGTGGATGGAAATGTTGTTTATGCAGTTTTATGCAAAGCAATTATGTTGACTTAATTGGGTTTGTTTCTGTGGAGAGTGTGCCACCCCCAGTCATGTATTACTGCTATCATAGAGTGACACATCACAGACACACACACATGCAGGCTCACTCCTCGAAACACCACTTTCTACTGCATGATTGAATAATGTGAAGTGTTTGCCTTGTTTGTGAATTAGTGAAGTTGTATTCACTGTAGCAACAAAACTGTGTTACTACAGCTGTACTTCATAACAAATCATCCGAAGTCGACCGTTACTTTTGGCACATATTCCTATTTGTAGAACGGCAAATCATATACGAAAAATGAATATGAATAAATAAAATAAATATAGAAAAAAATATATGTACTGACAGTCATCAGTGAGCATGCACAGTTAGTTCAACATTTCTTGCATGTTCGGTCACGTTGCATGTCACATACATTATGTGGAAGCACTGAATCATCCATCTCACCCACAGAAACCACTGCAGTTTAAAAACAACAAACCACTTTTTCTCCTCCTCTCCCCCTGTGCACCGTCCCATGTCTGAATTTTGAAGATAAACGGTTAATTTGCCATCTCTCTCCTTCCTCTCGGCCAAATCAATCCACCGTAGTCTCTGTCTGCCATTGTCCTAATCAGACCCTCAACTCGCTATTGGATTTCAATGGAACAGGCACAGCCCAAAGACCCACACAACCATCTAATCAATAATCCTCAAATGGGGGTGGTTCTCTATAGGGGATCGCTCTGGTTTTAATGCTTACACAAAGAAGTGGCACAGGCGCCAATGACTTGATACAGCATGTCCTCTGGAAGTGCATTTGTCATTTAGTTAATAACAGATCGCAAACAACTTCATGTGTAGTGATTGCACTGGGTTCTCTGTCTGGTCTCCCACCCTCTAACCCTATCGCTTGACACAGAAGAAACACAAACTCAGACTTCTGCTAAATACTGATTCCTCATTGTTTTTCTTTCGTCAATCAAAACGGCAGAAAACTTTTTGAAGCAGGTAACTTTTGTGCCATTGAAAGTAAATCAGACAGAGACAAAAGTGATCTCTCAAGGCTCAATTGTTTCAACAGTTCCCGCAGTTTCATTCAATTTTCAGGCAAGGCAGATAGGGAGCAATTATAAATCCATTTTCTATTGATCGCTTTCATGCAAATAAGCCAGTCCAATTCTTTAAATGTGACAGCTTTTATTACAAAGACAGTATTGTACCATTGTAACTCAGAAATGTGTCTGTGCCACGTAGATGTGTGAGTCCTCATGTAGTGATTCCATGTTATTCTACAGGTTCCATTGTGGCCCTGCAGAGCTCTGGAAACGGACCAGATGGAGCCCACCCACCAATCACCCGCTCACCCATGGCTCAGGAGAGAGGTATGTGTTTATGTACAGACACTGGTGTTTGACCTTGATCTTTATTTTACTGAAATTTAGTGGTTGTCTTAGAAGACCCCTTGCAAATTGTGGTTCGTTCAAGAATGTGGTCTTTCAATTTGAGTGCAGGACTTACTGGTTTTATGTTTAGATTTTGTAATGCTTTCACTCAAATAGCCCCTCCTTGTGCTTAGATTTGCTCTGCTTGTGCTCAAATTGTGCACTTACACAAATGTTGTTGTTCGGTTAGATTTTCTTCAGCTCTTCTCCTCAAGCTCACGCTGCTTCTGTACGCGTGCATAAAACATCTGCTTTTCTCCACTCTTGGATTTATTTGTGCAACAATTCTGTCAAAATTCCCCAACCAATAGAATTCCAGGAATAGACACATGAAATTCTTCCGCCCCCATAGTGAGTGCATTAACTTTGAGAGTCGCGTCATACTTTCCCATCTGCAATCCAAACAAAACAATATCTGATTGCAACCACAGTTTGAGCAAAGGTAAGCACAAGCAGGAGATATTTGAGTGTGAGCGCAGGATTTTGAGTGAGAGCATTACAAAATCTGAAATCAATAAGTGCTGCCCTCAAAATTAAAGACCACGCTCTTCAATAAAGACAGAAAAATAAACAGAAATGCATGCACGGTAGCCTCTTTTAGTGTGGAACATAAATATTCTCCAGATTTTGCATCATATTCAGATTATTTAAGGATATATACAAAATCAAACTTGTCCAAAACACTTTGTTCCTTTAAATTCCTGCATGAAGATTAGAGACATGGGTACAGACGAGTAAACAATGTGACCTGACTGGCTTTGTGCAAGATTTCCCATTGTTTGTATGAATCTACTGTTCCAAAAAACAAGTTCCCTCAGCAAGTAAACCACCCGTGTCACACTTTTTGTATTGCTCTTCTATTTAAACTTTTTAAAAACACACAGGATCAAGTGATGGTTGTACTTTAGGCTGGGCAGGTGCACAAACAAACACGCACATGTACAAGGTCTGAGTTTTATACTTCATCGCTGGGAGGAAAACTATCATTTGGCAAAGTCAAGTTATCCTGGACTCTGTTCAAGCTAGAATGCAAACACACAAACCACATGTGTTTCACATGTGGGAAATTGTTTACAGCACTTATGGCCACTTCTCGACCATCAACTAAAAATAGCAGAATTTCTCATTCAAAGCAAATAAAAAAATCAGCATCTACACAACAGGGCGAAAAAAACAAAAAACCCAGATGGACTTGTATGTAACTTTAATGGAACGAGTGCAATGCTCCCTCTCTATCACCCACCAAAGAGCAGTTAAGTCAGACAGAGACAGAGGGAGTGGACGGATGAAGACAAAGAGGGAGAGCCAAGCGCTGTAAAAGGTTATTTCCCAACATGATGAAATCAAGCTGGAGATTTAATGCTGCTCTCTAATGCCTGTAAACCTCCAGCCCTCCCCAGCCCGGTCTAGGAAAGCACAGTGCTGGTTAACAGAGCTGGCTGTTGTTTTTTTGCTGTTTTCCAAGCTTGGATTAAGAACCCCCCCACCCAACCGCCCACCCACCCGCCCGCCTGCCTCCTGAACACACACGTTCCACTTTGCTCAAGTGGCGTCCTCCCTAAGAGCCTCGCTCCACTCTTCATTTCCATAAATCCGCTGAATGTCCCTTTTTTGTCCCCACTTTCTCTCAGGCGTGCTTTGCCGGCTGCCTGTTGTTGTTGTCGTCCAGTTGAGAGCTTCATTCGCTGTTTGAGAAAGAGAGAAAGGTTTATGTGTGTGCGAGTGTGTGGAGAGGGAGTGAAGCAGAGAGAGAGAGAAATCCTTGAATGTGTTATTTGCTTTTAGCACTGTCTGCAAAATGTTCCTCTCCCCATCCATTTTCCAGGCAATTTAAAGTGTGGTATTACACAGTGTATTTTTTTTCTCCTCCTCTCCCAGAATCCCCTTACCCTAATGGAAGCAAAACATTACAATAATGTCCTCGCTCCTTAAACCCAACACTCGCAGCCTAAGCACTTTCAGGCCCCAATCGCTCTTTCCCTCCGTTGCACTGTCTTTCCCTCCCACGCACACTTTCTTTCTTGGCCTCTGTCTCTTTCCCACACACACACACATGCATATGCACAGACACACTCACCTAGAGCATTTATATTTCTGCCGCTCTGTTATCTGCCCCCCGCAAAGAAGCATAAATATGTACATGTATGCATTTATGTGCACACAAGCATATGGTGAATACTCCTTCCTCCCCCCTCAAATTTTCTCATGCCCTTTTAGCAAAATCGAGGAATTACACTCGTCTTAACTCGTACTTTCCAAACCGGTTGTTTCCCTAAACACCAAACTCACTAAAGAGTCTGTACACTTTCACTCAACAAAGATAACTATCGGATCTAATACATAGCCGTTGTCATACAATGGCCATCCGGCAACCTCTCTGTATTCGTGGCGGTCTGGGCGAACCTTTCTGTGGGATTTTAAAAAACGAACAGGGCAGCTTAAAAGGGCGAATCTCCAGCGAGGATGGCTCCAAATGTCAATTTGAATGGTGGAGGCAAGTTTGGGCCTCAGAGGCTTTGACACATCTATTGACTGAATAGCTCAGAATAACATAGTAGCCGTGGTCAAACCACAGGCACATTCTGTGGAGAGACGAGGTGTGCTTTTAAATCAAGAAGACACATTCTTTGGTATTAGCAGGAAGACACACACATGTACTTGGTTTTTGCAGCAACATACACGTTTCAGGGGAGATGTACACCTGTACTTTTGCCAGTGATAGAGCTCACTACATCTCTTTGTGTGTGATTAATTGTGCTCAACTATCATTTTACATGCTAATACCTGGTCCATGCTATGTTACTCATGGGTTTGTATCTCTGAATAACAAGAACCAGCGAAGAAGATATATCAAATCTTGCAAAAGGAAGGGTCTCTTTACTGTAGGAAATAAAATATATATCCAAATGTGATATCCAGGTCTGTTGAGCCACAGAATGATCAAACATCCATCGCATCCATCAACATTTCATTTCACTGAGCAGTTACATTCACTGCTGAACCACTCTCTTGGATTTTAGCTAAGTGTGGACATTGTCTTTTGTCTTTATCTGTGTGTTTCAGGATTCATGTCCAACATGCAGAGGAACCAGGCCGGCTCCCAGTTTGCTTCGCCTCAGTCTGGACCCTCTATGTCCCCGCACCCTTCACCTGGGGGCCCATTGTATCCTGGAATGGTTCCCTACTCCCAGAGCGGCCCCACAGGCCATTACGGACCTCAAGGATCACAGTATGGACATCAAGGTTAGAGCCTTTGTGCCTAAATGAGCTTTTACACATTGTAACTTGTTGTGATTGGCCTTTCTAACTTTCTAAACCTTTTGAGAAGCCTGGCAGATTGATTAATCAAAAAGCTTAAGCACCAAGGTCACCTGTACATCTCTGGTAGGCCAGTGGCACTATTTCCTCATGTTAATGGTCTGGGCACAAGAAAAAGTTACCCGGTGATGCAGGGAGTATTCTACTCTGCTGCTGCACTGGCAAGTTTAGTGCCAATAAGACAGGTACATGATAGTTCATGATAGTTCTATGAGCTGAAATATTAAATACTAAGGCAAGAGACAATACATCTGCTGTTGAATTGAAAAATATATTTGTACCATTGACTTCTGTCCATAACGGGCTGCAAAACATTCCTCTTTTTCAAACTAGTTAATACAGGGTTGTTTGATGCTTCTAATAAGCTACAATAGGTGCTGCCACATTGAACTCTGTGGCCACGTGGATCCAATGATGTGCTTGTCGAAATTCACTAAGGTTGAAATTTACACACTAAAAAGATGCTTTGTATTGTGCTTGCTGAAAGGTTAGCTCAGAGCAACATGATTTCCACAAATGAAAAAAATTCAAAAGCATTTAGAAATATCCAGAATTGTTGCAAAATGAAAATTTGTAGTTTAAAATAATAAATGTCTTCGTTCCTTTGGCTTTTCGTTGGCCCCAAAAGTAATTCTGAAAGACGAGCAACAGCCCCACACAGCAAGCAGTCAGACATGTGCATGTAGGGGAATTAGGGGAACTATAACCTTTGAATGCTTCAACCAACTCTGGGGATAATGGGGCTCGCATGTCTCTTGCACCTTTATTTTGGGGCTCAGGGCTGAAAAGTTTGGGAACCTCGAGCTTAAAGCATCTGATTCAACATTCTCCTAAAGACACAAGACCTGATCTAGATTTCCACTTTTGTAATCTGATCAAAATCCATCCACCTCAAATTTGTCATGTTTCATTATCTTGATACTTAAATAACTGAGTCCTTGGAGCATAAAACATAAAATAACTCCTGTCACAATTTTGTCAAAATAGAGAATTTAACTTCCATGCCGAGAAAAAACATTCAAAACCAAAAATGATTGAATTTGATTTCCCACAATCTATGGCTGCTTTCATGTTTTCATATTAATTATTAATCATATAAACTAATAACTGGGTGTTATAGAGAAGTTTGACATCGGATGGGAAAGACACATTTGTCTTTTTTAACAAATGTTGGCCCCCATTCCACAGTCACATCAGGCCTTGACACAACAGTGTCACTGGTTTCAAAGAGATTTTGTTAATGAGGAATACAAAAGACTCATTTTAAAAGACATATCCAACTTCTGTATCTGTCTCTCAGTCTGTCACTCTTTCTACGACTCATACACACACACAGATATCGTCGTCCCTCATCCCGTATGGTGGGTCACTGGGTCTCACAGCAGGCATCAAAAACGGGCGTCTAAGGGTGTAACTCAGAATATTTATGAGACACTTGAACCCTGGACAGACCTCTTGATTCCCCTCATGATTTGATTATGAGTTGGCTCCAGACTCACAAGGGAGACTGACACTTTTTCAGGTTATCCACTGAATGATGATAATGTCCAGTCCTGTAAATGAGCTCAATCTCTTATTATTAGCATCTCAGAAAAGGGGCCAGTCTTTTTAAAGTCTTATTAGTTTAGTTGTGGATCATTTGAAGTTCCTTCAAATACATAAAGACTTACTTATAGTCAGTGTACTGTTTGTAGAAGGATATAAAAGCAGTCGCCCATTTCCCCTAATCTTAAATCCAGGACAAACCATGGAAGTCATCTTTACAATGCAAGATGAAACAAAACTCAACAGATTCTAAACAGGTCGCATTTGACGCATTGGTCATCTGTCACTGTGACAGCAAGTGGACTTTTAAGATGAAATGGTGAGTGGAGGATTAGTCACACTATTTCAATCAGCAAAAGAGGAATAACAGAAAAGCTGGATGTATTTCATCAACTCTTTAGGTACGGAGGATGCATTAGATCCATCATGGGCACCAGGCACAGGGGATAAGGCTGTTACATTATTTAAAACACAGAGTTAGCTTGTTAATAGCAGTAACAAAATCAGTGGTGGAGTCAGTGCCAGTTTGGTTTTGAGAGGGTCTGGGTCCAAGGTTTAAGATTTAAGATTTAAGATGGATCTGTTTCAAGCTTGGGTCCAGCTCTGTTTAAGGCAGACCTCTAATGAGAAGAACAAGATTCACATGTTATCTCATAGACACACAACATGCAAAAATGAGGCTTCAATCTATTACAAAAACTATAAAACTTAACAACAAAAGAATCATCAAGAGTATAAAATATATTGAATCACATTTCCACATAGCATCTAAATAACAGAATATATCCAGGTATTCTTCTAGATTTTCAGCCCAGCAAACCTCTCTGCTCATTCAAACAGTCACTATAGTTGTTCCAGATATTGTTAACTATTTTAAACTCTTGTGTAGTTGATAGTCAATGAAAAAATACCTTGGAAAAACAAGTCACAGATTTCAGGAAATTTGGAGGAGAAAAAAAGTTTGGATCGTTCTCTATAATTGAGCAGTCTTTGCTCACTTGTTTTTCTCCAACGTTTTCTCCAGGCCATCCAATAAACATTGACATCTGCTGTTGTACTTCGTTTTCCTGCCATTGGCAACACACCAGATGAAACATTATGGTATTTTTTGGTAAATGTGTGTTTTAATGTGTCACCTTGATAAATACGCCCAACCATGCGTGAGCTTTCCCAAAAATGCAGCCTCTCCCTCGCATTCATTAATGTTGATTAATAGCCCTAATGCATTTGGTATTTGGTCTCCCTTCTCCGCCCACTCTTATCTCTTAATGTGACTTTGGCTGGGCTGACAGCCCAGTAAGCTGAGGGAAAAAAAGGAGGAATAAAGTAAGCAGGGAGTGACAGCGAGGGGGACGAGCCTGGAAGTGGCTCTGAAGGCAGATGAGCGTGAAATCCCGCTCTGATGACAGGAAGGATGTTCCCATCGGAAACAGAAAGAACAGCTCAGGCCTGCTGTCTTCTCATCACACACATATATAGTACATATACAATACATATAAGTTATGTATGTATAATCTCATTCAAGTTTTATACATATGCAACTTACCTGCATTTGTCCTACATGTAGATATTTGGACAACAGCACAGGGAGTATATAAACTGTGTGGTTGCATGGATTTCTCTTTTCAACCCAATCCTATTTTAACCTTTAGTGGACATTTAGACAAAAAAGAGTCTGAAAACAACACAATGAGTTGTATTCATAGAAAGAACATGCAATACAATTAAGGCAGTACATTTTTAGAAATCCATTCATGAGTTTAAAGGCTTATTAGATGCCAAATGCAGCACACCACACCAATAATACTATGCATTTTCTACCCGGAATGTGTGTTTGCACATGATTTACAACACTGCATTACACTTTTAAACCGAATTTTTCTAGACCGATATTTTTTATTACACACTCACATTCCGAAATATGAAAACAGTGCTGTACATCATCAACCTAGTTTTCAGTACTGGAAACCATTCATATGGACTACAGGTCAGATCTGGGGCCCCAGTTCTTCAAGCGCCTGTCAGAAGCCTGTTTTCGGGCTGAACAGGACAGACTGCTGCTGGTCATTGTTCTTAATGACAGCTCCATCTGCTCGCCTTCCCTCTTCTTAGCACACTAACAAATAAGCCACATTAGCCAACACGGAAACTCGCTCCAAGTTCCTGAACTCAGGCTCTCTGTTTTCCTTGGCAGTGTCTCGGGCCTCACACGTGTGCCTGTGTGTGTGTGTGTGTGTGTGTGTGTGTGTGT